TTGACACCATAACTTTCTGTTATGTTATTATTTATCTTTGTTATGCATGATCTGCTCAATGCATACATATTCTTTATAATATTATAGAAAAGAGATCCAACACCTATTTTCAAGAGTTTCAATTTGATACCAGTGTGAATAACAGTATCATATGCTTTTTGAAAATCAACAAAGCAGGCATACAGTCCTCCATTACCTGAACTACAATACTTATCAATAATGGTTTTTAAAACAAACATATGGTCAGAAGTTCTTGCTTTCTTTTTAAAACCAATTTGACACTCATCTATGATATTAAATTTAATTAAAAGTTTATCAAGACGTGAATTTAAAACACAATTAAATAATTTGCCTATCGAGCTTGTAATTGTCAATCCACGATAGTTATTCGGATCATGAATATCGTGTGCTTTATGTAATGGTGTTATGTAACCCTCTGCCCAGCTTGTAGGGTATGTTCCTGAGCTTAAACAGGCATTAAATAGCTTCTTAAAACAGAGAGCTGACTGACTACATTTTATCATGTTATTTGTGATTTTATCCAAACCTAGAGATTTGTTCTTTTTAATCTTTGATATGGCATCTGCAATCTCACTCTCAGGTATTGGAAAATCAAGCTCGTTGAAACATTTTACATTTTCCAAGCTTTTTAATTTTTCTTCAAGTTTATTTATTCTTGAAAGAAAATGTTCTTTTCCCTCATTCAATCCTTGAAAATGTTTTAACCATCTGGAAGGTTTAATGCAGTTTTCATCTGTATCTGTGTGTTTTCCTTGTAAATCACTTAGCATTTTCCAGTATGATCTAGGATTGTTTTCATGAAGTGTTTAAAGTTCTTGTAATAAATTATTTTTGTAAGTTTTTTGCTTTATTTTTCTACTTTTGTTGTATTCACGATAGAGTTTGTAAAAATAGTTTTTTACATATGGATCTTTGGGATATTTTGTTAAAACCTTTCCATAATTCATAAATTTTTGTCTCATAGATCGCAGATCCTTATCAAACCATTTTTTGTTCTTAGTTGTAGGTTTTTTTTGGTTTTTTAGCTTTTTTAAGTGAGATATCTTCTGCATGAGTGAAAAATTAGCCAGTTTATTGGCTGCAGCATTAATATTTGTGATTGTATTTATTATAGGTTTATCTAAAAAATGAGTTATGTCTGTTTGTAATGATAATAATGCTTCTTGAAATAATAGCTCAGAATCCTCTGACCATATATACCTTACTGGCATTGGAGAAACATTACAGTGCTCCTGTGGGATAGGAGTTTCTATACAATAATTAGCAGACAATTCCCATTGTAACATACAATGGCAGTCTGACAGAGTAGGTTTGAAATCTAATATTCTAAAATATAAAATACTTTTCAGGACACCCTCTGACACGACAGTATAGTCAACAACACTTTCACCGTTTGGTGTAAAACATGTATAATTGCCTTGTAAATCACCAAATGTCCTTCCACTAAGTACTCTCAATTGATGTGATATACAAAAATCTAATAATTCCTTTCCTCTTGTATCTAATTTTACATCCTTATTGTTACGTTCTGTAATGTTTTTGTCGATAGGATATGATTTAAACAAGGGTAGGAATTTATTATCATCCTGCATGATATAATCAGGGCTTGTTCCACAGAGAAGAAATTGGCATCTCCAAATGTATCTGTAATATCTTTTTGAATGCAATCCAAAACATTTACATCAAGACCCTTAGTTTAAGAGGATAAACTGGGTGGAAAAAATACCACACATATAAACAGGTCTTTTTGAAAATAAAAAGGTTTTTATCTAACTTCACCCACTGATAATCAGCATTAGTGTTTTTCAATATTTTAACATGATCTTTTACATGTGGTTTTCGTTATATTGCAATGCCACAAAAAATCTATTATTATACTTGGTCACTTTTCTACAGATAGGATGATAGTGGAATGGCCCAATAATTTTTAATGTCGAGTTATATCCTAAATGGGTCTCAGCCAAAAATGCAATATCATATTTGTCTATTGACTTAATGAACAAGGGGTCACAAGTTTTGTCATAGCCCTTTGCAATGAGTCCACCAACATTCCAAAAACACATTTTTAAATTTGAAAATGACATGATATAGGTTATTATATTTTAACCTTTGCAAAAAAAGTATACTAACAAAAGGAAACAATATAATTATACTGGTCAATTGTTTTAGAATAGACAAAATTGAAATTGAAACTGATAAGGTTCTATATATATATATATCTATGACCTTTGATATTTTGTAATATTGTAACGAAAACCGAGCGGTCGGGCCTTAGTGTAAACTATAAATATTTATCCCTTAGTGCGTTGCTATAAGAATGTGTTATGTTAGAATGTACGAGTATATAAGAAATAAAAGTTATAACTGGTGACCATTCTTTAATTGGTAGCGTGGTACTCTGGTATCGTGGTACTATGTGGTACTCTGGTATTCTGAATACATACTGGTTAGTCTGGTTCCTCTGGTAAGGTAATGACTCGGATATAAAAGGGTAGATTGGAGTATAGGTTTTTGTATGGTAACTCTCGATGTTTGTAAGAATAACAGACTCGTTGAATAAAAATCAACTTGTATTAACTTTAAGATGCATTAAATATCAACAATACATATAAATATCAAATAACTTAACAGTATTCTAGTCTAACAGATAAATACTTTATTAACCTTCTATCGTGAATTAAAGAAAATGGATAGCGGAAAAAAAATATACCCAGAAAGTTTACTAATTGTAGTTTGGTAATCGGCAAATGGTAAATAAAATTCAATGCCAAAAACTTGTAAAGGAATTAACAAACCCACATCATACGGACGTCGTTTCCTCTGACATTGTAATAGTATTGGCTGTCTGGTTAACTACTTGGTCTGGTACATGGTATCTGTACGTATATCAAAATAGCATGGAATTAACGTGTGTTACTTGCCCAGGGTAAAATCGTGCTAAAGACTTATCTGTATTCTCCGCCGTATTAATACTTAGGTAAACCAATTTACCGATTTGGTTTACCATTTACCATTTTGGTTTACCATTTACCATTTCGGAAAATACCTAAATTACCAAAACCGGAACTGGTGATTACCAAAATAGATAATGACGTCATTGTACGTCATTTTAAGTACACAATGCACAGGTGTTCCTATGTAAAAACATAGGCAAGAATGATAAAAAGTTTTAGAGTTATCAATGTTTAAACATAGTTATACAAGAAATATATAATAAGAAAAGTCAATTATCGGTAAGATTTAAACAACGTCATCACACAATACACCTTATTGCTATTTGTCCGCCATTACTGGATATCACACAGGTTCCCGTAAAATTTTGACGTCATAAAACAAAATATCTGACGCCACAATGGAAAAGTGATTGTTGTATGCGTCAAAAGTTCAAGCGGCCGGGTCAGCCGGGATTAGCGATAAGGTGTATTTTAGGGGAAACAAGTTCCATTTCAGGGGACCCACATTTCGTTACAATATATAATGTTACATATACACACAAAAAAACTATATTGCCTTGACTAACAAAACCAGTATTGAAATTCTTTTTTATAAAGTAGTAATTAATGTCAGGATGGAGTTGTTGGTCTTCCACGACCTCTGGAACCTCTACCACGTCCTCTGTTGATACGAGAGCGACTGCGATCTTGTCGGGTGGGTAATGGAACACCCAATGTTGAGTGTATGGCTCGTTTTATATTGCTAGCTAACTGAGCAATTCCCTTTGTGCTTAGATGAAATTTATCCTCTGCAAGCATTTCTGGTGTAGGATTTCCACCAAAAGCCATATTGCCGTGATCAACAAACATATTAAACATTCACTTCCGAAAAACTCTGCTTCATTAAACTAGGTTAAACAGGTTGCCTTTCTAATGGAGTGCCCCTTTTATTTAATCTTTCTTACACTTATCTCAACATTCCAATGGGTATCATTCATTTACGTATTGAATGCTACTTTTCGTAATATATTGAGGTGTAAAAGCGTTGACCGAAGAACATTGTGTATGAAGCGAAAAAAGGGATCATTCAGTTCTATAGTATTCTTCGTCGTTAGGTTTTTATATAAGAATAAGAGATGTGGAAACATTGCCAATAGACAACTCTCCACACGAGAACACGTGACGTAGAAGCTATCAGCCATACATGGGTAACCGCACAGCTTTCAACAATGAGCAAAACTCATTCCGCATAGCCGGAAAGCTATAAAGGTCCCTGATACGACAAATGTAAAACAATTAAAAACAAGAAAACTAATGGCCTGGTTTATGAACAAAACAACAAAAGAAAAACCAATAACAAACAACAACCACCGAATCACAGGATTCCTCCGTAACCTGGGACAGTGGTGCAAAACAAAAAAAATAACAAATAAACTAAAAAATATATATGAAAAAGGATAACCTCGTTAGATCGATACAAAAAAAAAACAAATAACAAAAACACAAAGTACAGATCTGAGAGTACTCGCAGTTACTAAAAGGTAGTACAAAGCCAGACTTTATTAACAGTCAGGTGTGTATGCTAATTTTCTGTTATAAACAGCAATGTCTATTTAAACAAAGTTTGTATGAATAGTGTGCGAAAATACGATATGTGTTTCGTCATCAAAAGACTCTTATGTTAAGAGGGTTATAGGAACGTTTCTGTTAAGTTGAATATGTCCTATGTCCATGTTTTGATATGGGTATACCCAAGCATAATTTGCATAAAGAATAGGAGATCCACAGTGTCATTCAATACGAACGATTCTATGAGAGTTTCGCTGAAATTAATCTATGTTGTGGGAGAAGGTGTTTATCTTTATCTTTATCACATATTATCGCTTATTCCGTAAGCGGAATTTAGTTCTACTTAAACGCTATTTTGATAGTTTGACCAAAAATAATCAAAACTTAAACAAGCCTGCAAAATGTTTATACTGAGCTTAACGAATTTATGTCTGTAAATTGTTTTGAAATACAACATAACAGTTGTAAATGTTTCAGATTTTCAGAATGAAGCCATATACTGGGTAGTCGGTATGGTCGGAAGTGGTGTCATCGTTTTTATTACAGTTTTCCTTTCTTATGTCTACTTAAAGAAATTAAATGATATTGTGAATAACGCCAATCAGGAGCATACAATTTCAATAGAATACAGAGAAGAACAAATAAACAACATTGGCAATGACAATATTGAAATTTATGAAACACGTGAGAACGTTCGGGACAACACGCATGCAAGGTCAGCCACACGAATAGAGAGACGTACAATAAATAACGAGATTTATGAAATTGTCCAACAGCATGAATCATCTCAGAACATACAGACGGATCATCTCACACAAGACGAGGACAACAGGACTTATCAAACAGTGTCTGCTGACTGGTCGAATGATGATCATATTTACAAAGATCTTACTGGTGGTCAATGTTAAACAACTGTAACAGTATATAAATGCAATTGTATTCATTTATCTTTTTCTTTCTTTTTATTTATTTATTTATTTATTTATTTATTTATTTATTTATTTATTTATTTATTTATTTATTTATTTATTTATTTATTTATTTATTTATAATAAAATTGAGAATGGAAATGGGGAATGTGTCAAAGAGACAACAACCCGACCATAGAACAGACAACAGCAGAAGGTCACCAACAGGTCTTCAATGCAGTGAGAAATTCCCGCACCCGGAGGCGTCCTTCAGCTGGCCCCTAAACAAATATATATACTAGTTCAGTGATAATGAACGCCATACTAAACTCCAAATTGTACACAAGAAACTAAAATTAAAAATAATACAAGACTAACAAAGGCTAGAGGCTCCTGACTTGGGACAGGCGCAAAAATGCGGCGGGGTTAAACATGTTTATGAGATCTCAACCCTCCCCCTATACCTCTAGCCAATGTAGAAAAGTAAACGCATAACAATACGCACATTAAAATTCATTGATGTATGTATCTTTTGTAAATTAATTTAATATTTATTAATATTTTAATGTTTACAGCTCATCCTTTATTTTTTATTTTGATCTTATGATGTTCTACCCTGTAGGCATAAAAATCCAGATTTGAAAAATTTGTATATAAAAATAAGGAGATGTGGTATAATTGCCAATGAGACAATCACCCACCAGAGTTCAAATGAAGTTGATATACGCAATTATAGGTACCGTACGGCCTTCAACAATGAGAAACACCCATACCGTATAGTCGGCTATAAAAGGCTCCGACATTTAAAATGTGAAACAATTTAAATGAGAAAACTAACTGCCTAATTTATAACAAAACAATTGCGAAAAACAAGTATGACAGACGTTAACCAACGACAATCACTGAACTTAAGGCTCCTGACTTTGGGCAAGCACATAAAGAATGTGGCGGGGTTAAACATGTGTGTGAGCGCTCAACCCCCCTGAACAGGCACAGTGGTGTATCAGAACACCATAAGAACAAACTATAAAAAATCAGTTGCAACTGGCTTAACTCAAAAGATCGGTACGAGGTTCAAAAACAATAAACAAAAAGCAACGATATAAGAGTACTGCAGATTCAAAAATTTAGGTAAGTTTTCAATGCTCTTCAACTCTATAATTACTTAGTAATTGGAATTCAACGAGGTAAAAAAAATAATATCGCATTATGATAATATATTTAAGAGATAATATTACTGTACATTGGGGATTTGACGGTTGCAATGCAGTTTAACTGGCGACGTGTTTCAATGCTTTATAAAATAAGCTTTGTATTTCATACCAACAATAAATTTTTAAAGTGCTATAGAATGTGACAATCATTTTAATTATTGTACGTTAATATACATTTCAATTACAGAAAAACATGTCTACATTCGTGTCAAAACGTTCTTGTTATTACTCCTCGATTGTCTTTTTTTTTATTATTTATAAGTTTCATCTCGAGCTCAGTAATTTTGATTTGAAATGTCTACTGAACTAGACCACATAGCTCGCTTTTATAAACTACTGTATATGTTTGCGTTTGTCACATGAGTCATTATGCAATTGGTTATCTCATGGTTTAAATAAGTCACACTGGCATATAAAAAGAGGCATACTGTATAACGAATAGCATTGATAATAGAAACTACACATGGAAGACCCATTGGCGGATCCTATGAAAAGTGAACAATGCATAATACAATGGAATTCGTTCCCAATGTCTAAATTACACTTTCTATTTTCCCTTTCTATATTCAACCATCTTGCAATTTGGACTGGAAAATTTTTATATATCATTTTCTAAATTTACATAACGTCAACAAATATTTTTCGTCTAAAATATCACAATATTTTTCAAAACTAAATATATTCTTACAAATAAGGTAATTCAAGCTTTCGAACAGTTCTAAATGGTCTCAAGCCATGTTTGTTTGAATTAATCACACAATCTTGCTTTTATATCATATGTTAACCATATACTGTGTGTTCCAGATATTAGAATATCCACATTCATCAATTATATGTTTTACCAATCTTAACCATTTAAAATCTACGTTTTTGGAATAATACAAGCGGTAAAGTATTCTAGATATAATCTAAGAAAACTTTGAATATTTTTCCATAACAATTTCAACCAGAAGGATATCATTTTTGCATCAATATTAAGTGGAAAACGTCCTATAGCTCACCATATATGTATAAACAGTTTGGAGTGGACAATTTCAGATTGAGGAGCAACTTATAAAATTTAAGATGAACATTTTCAATATTATCACAATTACTAGTACTTAATCCCCATATCTCTTATCCATATAACAGAACCGGTTTGACTATTCTATCAAAAAGATCTAACTAACAAGAAACTGATAAGCTGTGAAATTTATCCCATGCATACTTCGCTTTTGTCCCTTTTTCAACCTGTGATTGAACTATTGCCTTTTATAGAAGTTATAGAAACATCATTCTTATTTCAAGGACACACAATTAACCGAATTGAAGCCAGCAAATACCTAGGTGTAACCATCAGCAACAATGTATCCTGGGATATATTTAATTGCGTCTTTGGTAGGATTTTTCGATGTTTATTCTCTTTTCGGCCATGAATTCTATCAGGTTTGATATACTAGGACATGAATTTTACTGCATGCTGCTGTCAACACTGGTGTTTTATATCTTTTACTAGTATGTTACTGCAGTTTAATGTTGATATTCAGAGCTTTCATTCCTCTTGCAAGTTGAATATGTTGCTGCGATATATTCTTCTCTAGGCTTTTTTAATTGTAAGTTAATAGTTAGCTATGTACAATTCGTGTTCTATGATGACAAATGTCACTTCGTAAGGTTGTTACTGAATGATTAGAGCACCAAGCTACTGGAGTCAAAAGAAACTATCCAAAGTAATTAGGTCGTCAAAGACATGTTAGAGGAGACGGCACACTTGTCAGACACAACAATAGTGGCTTTCACAGATAGCTCTTGTCAAGTTAACCAATGACCATGCGAGGAAGGAACAGTAGTTTAACATGGCCAAAGCGTCATTCTAACGAGAGGCTATCAGAGGATCAATACTACATAAGCTGAACTAGTATACTTAGCTATCTAATGGTTTTTGGAGCACTTTTTAACAACAACCAAGTCCTTTTCAATGAGGTTCAAAATCAGCTGTTGGCTTCTTGACTCTAGTCTTTAACTGAAACGCTTCTAAATAAATGTATATCGACGAAATTGCAGACTTTAGAGAAGCATGGGGACACTCCTGAGACGCGCTAACATTTTACATTGTACACGATATTATATTGGTCGTTTAGTGATAAGTCCTCCTTTACTGCATCTTTCGCCAACTTGTCCGCTATCTCGTTCCCTGCTATATTAGCATGACACAGAATCAAAGATAGGGTTGGTTGTATGTCAAGTTCATCTAAGATGTCAGCAAATGTGAGGCTATTCAACAACTGTTTTGTGCAGAAAGAATGAACCACCATTTATTGTAATAAACATTATATGATGTTATTATCCATGTAGATGTTGATCTGCTCAGATAGTTATTCCATCTGGATCCATACTATCAACAGAAAAACTACTTCTGTGAGAGCTGGACCTGGACCTTTATATGTTGGGTGAAACTTGCCGTGAACAATGCCAATGATGGTGTATGGCATTGCTGCCGATGTAGTGGCAGGCCGGAATCGACTGACAGCAATAAGTTTAAAAATTCAAACTTTTTTTTCATACAAATGAACAAAAACAAAAAGAATACAACACAGTTACAAACAATGATAAAGTAAAACAAATATTTTCAATTATTTCCTTAATAGAAAACAGTAGGTATTTTAATAAAACTTTATTTATGAAAACACTGTCTTTGTAAGCAATTGTTGTTTTTTTTTTTGTTTTTTTTGTCTTAAAGTCCTCTGTATACACCCTATTAAGTTGTAACACTACTTATGTAACTATATATGTCATGTTTAAAAAGTTGGGGAATAAAAACAAAAGAATTTACGATTTCTGAGCGCCACAGGTTTATTTCTCCCTTTCTCCACTTAACCTTTAATATAAAAAGTAAAATGACTATGGTCAAATCGACAAATAGCGCACCTAGCCTTTGAACTAACACAAGTCTCATCCAATATGTATGTCTAGTCTGGAACATATTTCCCAGTGTATGGCTAAACATAAACCTCTGTATATCGCTTCTATCTGCTGCGAAATCACGCTGGACTGTAGTATCACCGGTCACGATAGGTGTATAATGTCCAGTATCGTCTGTTACTGTATTTGGTCAATTTTAAATGTTTAAATATAATGACCAATCCACCTTAATCACCGAATTTATATAGACTTTGAATAAAATGCTTTTTAGTTTTTTCTAATGTGTTTGAGCTTTTGGTTTTGCCATTTGATAATGGACTTTCCATTTTGAATTTTCATTGGAGTTCGGTATTTTTGTTATTTGACTTTTTTTTTGCACTTTAAAATAACATGTTAAATGACTTCTTCGCCTTCGTTACACAATGGGTAATTTTTTTTTAAATGCAGCTAGGTTTTTTTCAATGTCCCCTTCCAGTACAAGTATTGGTATTTCCTTTCGCCTGAGTCAAAGGTAGGGCAAGTTTCTTCTTCCTGTTGATAAGTGACATGATTTGGTTTAGCTTGGTAGATAGGTTCAACTTTCTTCTCTATTGGAGGCGTGCTTTTGTAACAGTTAATTCAGTCCAGTAGTCAAATTTGTCCGCCAGAATTTTCTTCTTAGGTAATCAAGTCCGTGATCATAATTTTACTAGGAATGTAAGTCCATCAGATAAATTTTCCTAGGAAACATTTTCTATATCGGTATTATCATTTTTTCTATGAAAATGTCCCTTAAAATTTTTATTTCTGAAGACATTATTTAAATGTAATCATTATCAAAATTAAGAAAGGAACATTTTTAATTATGTACATCACAAAAGTCTGTGCTATCTAGGAAAAAAGTCTTTAATTATTAAAAAAACCTCACCCATATTTTAATAAAATAGTGAAATATCAATGCACAACTGTTAAACAATGGAAAAACATACACAAATTAAAAATGCCATTGCTTACATATAAATTATTTCTTTCATTATAAAATTTCTCATAAGAATAGAAGGAAATGGACGTTTTTACCTAGGAATATTAATGCCTTACGACAAAATTCTACTTACGATTGTTTATGAAACGGTCAAAAACTTACGATTTGAAATACCACCGACATAAGATCTAAGATTGTCGTACGATTTTTTTTATGAAACGATGGTCTGGACATGAACATGATGAATTCCTAGGAAAATTAGTGATCATTAGTCTAGGCAAATAAATTACAACTGTAAAACAACATTAAAACAAAAGAAATAATTCTAGTGTTTACATGTAAAAGATTTCTGTTATTACACACTTTCCTAGTTAAATAAAGGACATGGACATTTTTACCTAGGAATATTAATGAAATGGACATGAATTCCTAGAATAATTAGTCTGGACACATAAATTTTATTAAAAGATTAATGCACAACTGTTA